CCCCCCGCGAGCGTGCTGCCCGCTGTGGCGACCATAGTTCCGATTACAGATTTTGTTTGTTTGCTTCGCTGAGAAGGACGCCCGCCTTTGCTCTCTCTCCGTACGCAATCGCGGCAACAGGGTACCTAGATAGTTGTTTGTGATGCCACGAAAGTAAAGCAAAGCAGCGGTAGGCATGTTTATAAAGTAGGAGGTCTAGTTGACTCTCGTTGTGTTAATAATGGATCCGTAGCAGGGGAATACTTGGAATCGCTTGATGCTCAAAGCAATATCAAATGACTGCCCCCATGCCCTCTTGTCGCTTCCGCAAATACGTGTTTGCGTCTTGGCAGAACTCGGGGAATGTGGCGACGGTTGGCATCCCGTCATGTGCCACCTCCCGCTGAGCGTGTCGGTGCTGCCCAAGACCGCCGAGGGGCGGGAAGAGAAGGCGAACAAAGCCCAGGTGAGATTCGGCGTCGCTTCCCCCCCCCGTGTGTGTTGCTGCCTTGATTCGACGATGCCCCCGTGGTACTGCCCTTGATGACACTCGAAGGTGCTTTCTTGTTTTCCCAGCCGCATGATGATCGTCATGGTCAGGCATTCTGGAGGCGGGGCAGCGTGAGCGGCCTGTTGCTCTTGTTGCTTCTGCTGTGCATGCTCTCAAAACGTCGACGCGTGTTTTTCGACGCGTCAGCTGCCTCTTCCCCTATAGTTCTGTTGCACTTCCTGCATGCTCTCAAAATGTGGACGCGTGTGTTTCGACGCGCAGTACACTGAATATTGTTCAACTCCCTTGTCCCGTCCCGCGCGCGTTGCGGAAATGAAGGTGCGTCATGTGGGTCCGAGAGTCGGCGGTGCCCCGGCGGGGGACGGTGAGGGGGACGGTGATGAAACACCCCCTACCTCTTCCTCGGCCTCCGTGGGGGGAAAGGGAAGGCACTTGCAATCACCCCCCGCCGGGCTTGAGCGGCTCGTGGGCGAGGGTAGCACGCCCGCGTCGTAGTCTTTGCGGCAAGGCTATCGGCGCTTGGAAACACACTTTGTGGTAAAAAAACTGACTTTGGTTGGTTGTACATGGAGCTGCACTTTTTGATGCGATCTGTTGGCGCTTGGAACCGTTCTTGTCAGAAAAAAAAAACTTTGGTTGGTTCTAGAGCTGCTAGTCTTGACGCGGTCTGTTGGCGCTTGTAGCCATTATTTTTTGTCGACTTTTGGTTCTAGAGCTGCTATCATAGTCTTGAGTCGGTAAAAGTGCGAACGCGTGCAAAAAGTTCTACGGTTGTGTGGGGCGATTGTTGAGGATCGGAAAGTATAAGACGTATTGTACTTCTAGATGGAAAGAATGGTCACGCGGGAAGAAATGTTGGTTCTCTGACAATCGTGGGGGGAGGCACAAACCCATCCCAAAACGATCCATGGCCTGCCGTACGTCCGTGTGCGAGCGTCCGAGACTTCGGGTGTGGCGCCTCGCCATCTCCAGCACGTGTTTTTTGTGGGCCGAAGAATTACTTTTAAGGCATGCATGCTTGAAGATATCGGGAGGGGAACCTTGGCCACGGGTTGCGGAGCTCTAGCTCTCCTTGTGTTGTTGTCGTTGTTTGCTTCTCCACATGAACAACCCCTCCAACCTCCGCCCAGTACTACCTTACGACCTTAATTATCGCGGTTGTGGCCTGGGACTTTTAGGACAATTTGTCGCTCTAGGTGCGGTCACGGTGGGTCGTGGTCCCGGGGGGGGAGTGGTTGTTATACTCCGGAGTTTTTGTCGATGCGGGCTTCGTCCCGGGGTATTTATACTAGCAAAAGGTNCTCACCGGACCAGGCTCTCACATCACCAAGCGCGAAGCGCCGTGAGATATTCGGCGAGTCGCATGAAGGGTGCGCTGCATCCTGCTAAGGGTGTTCAAAAGGTGGGATATTATTTTTGTCGACGAGCGCGGGTGTCGTTTGGTTCTTTCTCCTGGTTGCTTGTTGTCGCGGTAGCGACGGAGAGTGTGGAGACGGGGTGCAAGGAACGAGAGAGCGTATGGCGCGCGTGGTTAGTTGGTTTTATCTAGGGCGCCCGGTTCTCCTCGTGCTGGTAGAGAGGGGGTATTTTGACAGAGAGTATATGGTGGTCTGTTTAGCATAACCCGTGGTGTATTTTTTGTTGGAGTTTTGTGTGACAGGTGGTGTCGACGAGGGACCGCGCGTAGGTTGTGTGTGTGGCTGAATAGCATAAGCCGTGGTGTGTTTTTTGTCGAAGTTAAAAAGTTTTGTGTCACAGGTGGTGTCGACGAGGTACCGCGCGTAGGTGGTGTGTGTGGTTGAATACTTTGAGGCGTGTGCTTGCTTTCTTGTCGACATATAAAACAGCTTGACACAATATGTTCGTGAATCGCTGGAAGAAGGGAGGACCGGCGAGAGAGAAGATACGCACGTGCGATCGCTGTCCTACTCAGCAAACAAACGCGTTGCATAACCAATCACCCATCCACGAATGCGGATGGCCTACAGCAGGAGAGTACCTCGATCTTCGTCGAATACCGTATATGACACAAGATACCACACCGCTGGATCGATTTCCAAAGCCCGAGTACTCCACGACGAAGAGGATGCATGAACGAAACGATACATTTTCGAAAAGCTCTCGACGAGACGGTTTCAACGTCGCCGTTTTCGGCGCTGTGACTGTTCCTGCAGTTGAGAAATCGAGCTTCGAAAATCGGTCGAGGGGATGTGTTATCTTGTGTCATACTATACGGTAACACCCCCGACCCGAAAACCCCAATAGCGAAGGGTCGCCCTGAATTCATTGGAAACGGTGTGAACCAAAACACGTAGACAAGGGAGAGATGGACGTCGTCTTCCTTACGCCTGTCTGTCCTCACTGTCACCTGGCCCCTACCCCACCTTTATCAGCGAGGCCATGACCTCTCCTTCCCAGGAAAATGTCGTGTACCCTGAACAACTAGTTCGAACCACGAATTATTTCCATACATACGCGTAAGCCAGTCTATAGGTTGCTGCGCGTACTTGACCCGTTCGAAACACAATGAATCAAACTATTACTTTCTGAGATCAAACAGTGTTGGAAAGATAACTGAACTATAAAGCATTCTCCATAGACTAGTCTAGAGGCTTCGAGTTTTTTAGGTCTGAGCTCCGAAGGCTGGATTTTAGTCTAGCCTATCGTCTAGTGATCAAGCGCATCTTCTGTGATGCCGAGTTCCCGCAGTCCCCTGATGATGTTAAGCGTTGACAGGTTGGCCCTGACCACGCCGTCGGTTTTTTTGGCGAGTGATTGGAGCTCCTGCCGAGGAATGAGCACGACGACCACAAGTCCACAAGTCATGAAAGACAAGAATGGCGGAGGGGGAAACAAGCATCATGCCGACAATGCCACTTTCAACGATCTCTTGCTCTTAACTTTGCAGTTTCATTGTGGAGAAGAGTACTCCTGCTAGCGCTCGCGTATACCGTGTTCACTACCATACCTCATCGTGGTGGCGGCTTCGGCAACAAGCGCCCAACATTAATGATTGTCAATTCCTCGACAAAAACCATGACTTTGTGGTTGGAGCCGAGGGGGAATACCATTGACAAATGAGAGTGATTGGCGAAACCGACCAAGGTCCCGGAAACGTTGGGGCTGTCGAGACGCCCTCACTCCTGTAGTTCTGTATCTACAATTCGACCATGAATAAACAGCGTCAAGGAGGTCTCCCTGCGCAGGCACACAGTCATTTTATGCAGCAAAGAAGCAAGCAATACCTGTCGCTTGAGACCATCAAGCCCATCGGCCCTCGCGTTCCCCTGACCCGAAGCCCTGCGACTTCCACCATTACCACTGCCGTTTGCAGCTCTTCCCGGTCCAGGCGTGACCGGTTGTCTCGCACCGAGTCCCCCCGAGTTATCAATGTCGTCCTGAACCGATCCATCATCGTTGATGCTGTCGTCCTGGTTGCCGTCGTGTTGGAAGGACTCTCCGGCGTGGTTCCTTGAACGGCCGTGGCCCGTTCTTGCGACCGTACCGTTGTCGCGGTCGCCGCTACCGCGGCCGACCGTCAGCGGACGAAGCAGCTGTAGTCCATCCGTGCGTCTGTCATCGGTAGCAGAACCATGCCCTTCTCTTGATCGCGACGTACCTCGATGATCGTCGTTTCTGCTGTTGTCGCCATTGCGACTTTTCATCCACGCTGCCAATAGCGAACTGGCAAGCCGCCCCAGTTCCAGGGAGGGGAGGTAGTACGATGTAAGGGCGTGGCCGAGAATGACAGCGCCAGCCTGAAACGTTAGCCACCGGATTTTCTCCTGAGTGAAAACCTGACCGGCACCAAAATGGGAGGGGGCGACCGGCGACGGGCGACGGGTGGTACCTACCTTTAATCTGTTAGCCACCTGCAGCTCAGGGGTAGGCTTCAGGGCTGCGGCCGCTTGTGTGTCTCGTTTTTAAGGCAAAGGCCACCGGTTCTTGTACTCAGGTATGGAATACGCTCTAAGGAATCGAGGCGACTGCTCTGTTTCCTGAAAACGCCAAACCACACCATTAGATCTCCGATTTTTCGTCGACTTTCAAACTACTCAAGTAAAATATGAGACAATAATATGTGGATGATCGTTGCCTTCACTACGACCAGCCGCACAAGGAGCCACCAAGGTGTGACAATGGACTTGAGAACCGATCTTGTTGCTATTCAAATCACTTCGAGCTTATTCCAATGTTTCCTCCCCGTCGCTTTAGACGGAGTATTGGCCATTATGCACTCTGGAGTACTCTCGCGCGCGTTTATCTCTTCATTTCGGTCACGGAAACAAACAGGTCCAAGTCGTTTCCCACAACAAGCCCGGTACTGGAGTTCATGCAGGATCATCCCCCATCTTTCACCTTCGCCCACGTTGCTGCGGCGAACGTCCCGGGCGACGCCCATCTGAGCCCGGACAACAGCCAGTCGACCTACAAGTTATCGGTTTGCGTTCGGGCATCCACGGGTAGTTGCACAAAGATAGCATTTTGAAGTACACTCTATCGAACGAACGCATGCCGGCACGCTCCGAAAAACTTCCCCCATGCCTAGAGGACGGACATCTCCGCGTCAAGCTTTCGACACCCAGGACAGGGAAAGTCGCCGTCTCTTGCCGGTTCACTCCTCATATATTTACGACATTCGAAATCCTTGTTGGTTCTGAAACACCAAAACGTTCCGCGCCGAGGCATTCTGGAGACAACACCCAGAGATAACTAACTGGGGGCATCATCTGGGTGTAACAACGTGTACCCTTTCAAGTCCATCCAAGCCACCGCGGTCATCACCGCCGCACAGGCTCTTCTCGAGCAGGAGGCCGAAAGCGACGAGCGCGAAGAGGGCCGTCCTTGCCGAGCGGAGCGGGGGGGCGGTGGTCAGCACCCAGCAAAGGTTCGCCGCGAGGATAAGGTACCTGGGGGCAAGAGCAAGCGTTTCGGAACGCGCCACCACTTAGGAACCTACCTTAGAGTAGTCAAGAACCAAGCAAAACAACATCTAAGAACTTGACCATAAGAACAGGTTCTCAGTCAAGAATCCTACAGCACACGAAAACCTATATTGTCGCCGTGGGGGTAGTCTACCCCCTAGACAAAGAAACGGGCCTCGGCCAATAGAGAGGTTCTTTAGTGGTGGCGGCGCGTTCTGGATGCGAAGCACTAGCGGCCACGTGCTCTCTGCACGGAAAAAGCAGGGACCACTGGCGAGTAGAAAGTCCTAGGTGCGGATTGTGGACGACTATCGGTCGTGTCGCGACAAGGTCGTCCATGGCCTTCAGAACACCACCGCTCCTGCCCGCGTCCTATCTCTCTTTCTTTCGGTTTGTTTGTTGTGCGATCTCCATGCATCTTTACTTCTTTTCTGCCTAGTTTGCATTCAATTTCTCTCGAGGGTTGCCCATGTACTGTGGCCATGATAGATAGATAAGATAACTCCGCACGTGAAAGCCTGAAACCTCGCCCACGCAGAGCTGGCGTTGTCCAGGCAGTCGTGGATAAAACCGATCGTTTCCATTAGATCGTGATTTTGGTCCTTTGTTAACCTGTGACCAACAACAATGCGCGACACGGTTCGTATTCCATCGAATATTAAGTAGTGAAGGGTCAATTTCGGCATCAACTCATTGTGCTTCAGCGGTGGACCTTCAGAACACTATGTGCCCACGTTGATGTTAGCTTTGAAACACACCAAGCTGCGACTGCCCTCCCCCCTCTCTCCCTTTTTCCGGTCTAACCCCAGTCCTCATATACCGGAACCCCCGCCTGACCTGCGGTCTTCCTCGATAGCCCCCATGTAAGACGCGAGATCAGACTTGGCATTGTTGAGCTCGGTCGACAAGCTTGACGCTTGTGTAGCCGCAATGTCCTGCCTTGTAAGCAGACTCGAAAGTAAGGTTTCCTGTTGTTTTTTGTTCGGTCCGGGCGGTGAGATAGCTCTTAGTTACAGGAGCACTTTTGGAGCTCTTGAGTCGTGAGTGGAGATTCACGGCCAGGAGCGGAGGAGAAAATAGCGGGGAAGGAAGGTGTGGGGGGGGGCGTACTCTGTTTTGCATGCATTAGGGGTTAGACCATTGACCACGCGTCCTCGAGAGTACGGAGCATTGTTCCCACAGGACCGATCACCGATGGCCAATCGTTCCTTTCTACTTTGCCAAAGGTGGCTCAAAAATGTCTTCCCTAGTCTGTCTATCCTAACGATATCCCTTCCCGCCTTTTCAACCCACCTCCTATGCCCCAGTACAGCTACCGTCCTTTCCTCTCTATTCCATGCCTCAAACATCTCCCTGTACGTTCCATCTATTTTTCCCAGCTCAGTCACGTACACTTCCCTCTCCTTCTTGTACAACGGACATTCCGCGACTACATGAACACGGTCTTCGCATTCGAAGCCGCAATCACATTTGAACTCGTCGTCTTCCTCGTCTACCGTCCTATGTCTTCGTCGACGTTCTCGAAGGCCTATGTCCCCGGTCCTGAATTTGACCTTAAGCTTTGTTCCTGCATCCATTGGTCCATGTAGGTAGTCCTTGAACCCTATTCCTTCCTTCAACATTCCGTACACTTCTAGACCCTCCTTATCCTTGGATTCTTTCCTCAGATTCTGTTCTTCTCTCTCGGCACAAGCAACAGATATCTTCTCCTTGAACCCCTGTAGACCCTCCGTTTCCAGCGTTTCATCTTCGTCGATGTCGAGCCCCTTCCATACGTCCTCTACAACCTTGACCCATTCCGTGGGTTGTCTACCCCTCTTTTTGTTTGCCCACTTCGCCTCCCATACAATTCTCGGCAACCTCTCCTCTCCCATCCCGCACATGCGATACTGCCAGGTCAGCTTCCTCGCGTCTCTTCCCGACCGTAGGGATTGGATCCCCAATTCTGCCCTCACGGCTGCATTACTTGTGCGCCTGGAGCATCCTAGGATGGTTTTCGCTGCTTTCATCTGCGCCGCCTCGAGTTCTTTCACTACCTTCTTATTTCCTTCCCATACTTCTCCGGCGTACTCTAGCGGCGGTACGATTACGCTCTTCAAAACCGTCAATTTGATGCGTGTATCGAGGTGCCGGTTTGCGAGTATTGGGTGCAGCTTCCCTGCTCGTGCTTTGCCCTTTTCCGCTACCTTGGACATGTGTGCATTCCACGAGCAGTCTTTTGCGATCTCTACTCCGAGGTATGTGTACTGGTCCACTACTGCAATCTCCTCGATCCCCCACTTCCATCTATGTTCTACTGGTTCCTCCTTGTTCTCGTTGCATACCATGACGGCACTCTTCTGAACGTTGGCAGACAATCTCCACTTATCAGTAAACTTCTTCGCCGCGTCAATTTGCAGTTGCAGTCCCTCAGGGGTGTCCGACATACCGACAAAATCATCCGCAAACAGCATTCCTGAAACCGACGTTTCCGTGTCCCCTACTTTTACTCCCTTCCGGACTGCCTCTACGACTTCCAACAGATCGTTGATGAACACCTGGAACAATGTTGGGGACAGCGTGCAACCTTGTGGGACCCCCTGCTCAATGTCGAAGAATTTTGACAGTTCTCCGTCTAGCATGACCGCGCTTTTCGTACACTCTGTCATCTTCTTCAGCACTCTCCACATTTTCCCCTTGATCCCGTATTTGGACAGTTGTTTCCACAACCCATTTCTCCATACGGTGTCGTATGCCTTTTTCACGTCCAGGAAGAAGCAGTACGTCGGCTTTCCCGCCCTCTTTCTACCTTGGATGATTCTCCCTACCGTGAACACGTGGTCTACGCACCCCCTCTTCTTGCGGAAACCTGCCTGGCCCTCACTAATGCTATGTTCCTTCTCCAATACTCCCACTATCCTATCGTTCAGCAGCTTACAGAACACTTTTCCTACTGTGTTCAACAGTGTGATCCCCCTGTAGTTTCCTGGGTCAGTCTTGTCTCCTTTCTTAAACAAGTTCACAACCACTCCTTCCCTCCATCTACTTGGCGTATACTCGTTTTTCCACACCCAATTGTATAGCAGTACCATCAGCTGGATCATCCCCTTCCCCCCAAACTTCATGAACTCGTTGACTATCCCATCCGCTCCTGCTGCTTTGTGGCACTTCAGCTTGTTCACACACGCCTCAACCTCGTCCTCAGTGAACTCCTTTTCTAGTTCTACGTTCCCAACGTCTGCCTTCGATGTCTCTTCTTCTTTTTGGGCCCATGCGTCCACCTCCTTCTTAAACGCTTGGTCAAAAGCTTCATTCTCCGAGGGCACTCCAAGTCTCTTGTAGTGTCCTGCTAGAACTTCCCTTTTTCCCTTCCCACTGCTGACTAATCCACCGTTCACACCTCGCAAAGTTGCTACCCCTGTATCCCCCCCTTGCGCGGTCTTTTTTACCATTCCACTAATCCCTTCCCACATCTGCTTGACGTTTCCCTCCAGGCCTCCGTTGGCCTTCTGCACTACTTCGTCCCAAATACACTTTTTCTTCTTTTTCACTAGTCCCTTCACCTGTTTTCTCTTGGCCCTGTACTTTTCCCAACTCTCCTCAGACGCCTCACTCAGGTACTGCTTGAAGACTTCTCTACGTTCCCCTATTTCTTCTTTCAGCTCGTCATCCCACCACTTAACCGATACCCCACATCGTACCACCTTCGTTCCCACTACTCTCTCTGCCGTTGCGTTCACGATGGACTCCCACCCTTCAATCACTCTGTCCCCTGCTGCCTGTACGTCTACCTGTCCGTCTTCGACGCTTCTCAGCAGTTTCCTGAAGGATTCTACACTACCAGCCAGCCCCTTCTGGAATTCATCCCGTGTCCCATCGTCTCCCAAACGCTCTACCTTCCACCGGAACACTTTCCTCTGTTTCTTACTCTTGATCTTTCTAGATCGGTCGATGTTTGCCCATATGAGGAAGTGGTCGGTCGAACCTATATCTATCGCACTTACGTGCAGCTCTGGGATCTGCGTGCTCCCCCTATCTACCAGGATGTAGTCGAGGATTGAGTATTCATTGCAAACTGCCCGTTGCCTTGTGAACTCCGGCTTATCGCATTCCCTCCTACCGTTCAACACCATCAGTTCGTTGCTTCCCAAGAATTCAAGCATCCTCACTCCGTTGTCATTCACTTTGTCTTCTCCGTGCTGCCCGATCGCCTGTCCTCTACTGGAAGCTTTCCCTACTCTGGAGTTGAAATCGCCCACCATGACAACTTCTCCCTTCCTACTGAACCTCTGGACATCTTCCCCAATTTGTCCAAAGTTCTCCTGCGCCTTGCTTGCGACTTTCTTCGACGACGGTGGGACGTATACGTTCCCTAGAAACAAGTCTTTCTCACCCCGCTCCCCAGGTATCTTTAGCCATAGGCTTTCCTCGAATTCCGTTTTCACCACTACTTCCACCACGTCAAACAAGTGTTCCTTGACCAGGAATCCGACTCCCCCCTCCCCCCTTTTCTTCGGGTCTAAGCCCTTTCTTGCCTTCCCTACCCACCGGTATGTCCCTAGTTTGCTTACCACGTCCCCATCCTTCAATTCCCACGTCTCTTGGATCCCCACTACATCTAGATCGCTTTGTTCTACTTGGTCCACTATTTCCAACCGCTTGCGCTCACTCCTTGCGAACCCGCACACGTTCCACGACCCGACTCTCAGCTTGCGCTTTTCCCTATTGGAGATTTTGCGCACACCATCGTTCGCCTTCCGCTTCTTCTCGGACTTCTTCTGACTTGCTTGCTCGACTGCCCCGCTCGGTCCTTTCTTCGCCTCCGTCGCCCTCGCCTCTTGTCTCCTTACCTTCTCTGTTTCTATCATGTTCGCGATGCAAACCCTCCATCCAAACTTCCTTACGTAGTTCGACAGCTTCTCGATATCAACCCCCAAGCACTCTTGGCTGTCTCCCTTGGTCAATTTCACCCGGAAGTGTTCATGCTCTCTGCCTACGTGTCTGGAAAACTCGAAAACTAATCCATCTGTGAGGTTTTAGTATGTGGCTATCTTCACTCAATTAGTCTATGTGTCCGGCAAACTCCAATACAAATCAACCTGTGAGGTTTCAGTATGTGTCTTTCCTGACTCAAAGCGTCAATGTGTCCGGTACTATCCAACATCACTCAACTCGTGAGGTTTCAGTATGTAGCTATCCCCACTCAACGCGTCTATGTGTCTGGCAAACTCAAAAACCAATCCATCTGTGAGGTTTCAGTATGCAGCTATCCTCACTCAACACGTCTATGTGTCCGGCAATCTCCAATACAAATCACCCGTGAGGTTTCAGTATGTGTCTTTCCTCACTCAAAGCGTCAATGTGTCCGGCACTATCCAACATCACTCAACTCGTGAGGTTTCAGTATGTAGCTATCCCCACTCAGCGCGTCTATGTGTCTGGCAAACTCAAAAACCAATCCATCTGTGAGGTTTCAGTATGCAGCTATCCTCACTCAACACGTCTATGTGTCCGGCAATCTCCAATACAAATCACCTGTGAGGTTTCAGTATGTGTCTTTCCTCACTCAAAGCGTCTATGTGTCCGGCACTATCCAACATCACTCAACTCGTGAGGTTTCAGTATGTAGCTATCCCCACGCAGCGCGTCTAGACTGTGTCTGGCAAACTCAACAACCAATCCATCTTTGAGGTGTCAGGATGCAGGTATCTTCACTCAACGCGTCTGGGTGTCCGGCAATCTCAATACAAATCAACCTGTGAGGTTTCAGTATGTGTCTTTCCTCGCTCAAAACGTCTATGTGTCTGGCACTATCCAACATCACTCAACTCGTGAGGTTTCAGCATGTAGCTATCCCCACGCAGCGCGTCTAGACTGTGTCTGGCAAACTCAACAACCAATCCATCTTTGAGGTGTCAGTATGCAGGTATCTTTACTCAACGCGTCTGGGTGTCCGGCAATCTCCAATACAAATCACCTGTGAGGTTCCAGTATGTGTCTTTCCTCACTCAAAGCGTCTATGTGTCCGGCACTATCCAACATCACTCAACTCGTGAGGTTTCAGTATGTAGCTATCCCCACTCAACGCGTCTATGTGTCTGGCAAACTCAAAAACCAATCCATCTGTGAGGTTTCAGTATGCAGCTATCCTCACTCAACGCGTCTATGTGTCTGGCAACTCAAAAACCAATGCACCTGTGAGGTTTCAGTATGCAGCTATGCTCACTCAACACGTCTAGGTGTCTCGCAATCTCCACCACAATCGCCTGTGAGGTTTCAATATGTGTCTATCCTCACTCAACGCGTCTATGTGTCCGGTACTCCAACATCACTCAACCAGTGGGGTTTCAGGATGCAGCTATCCCCACTCAACCCGTCCATGTGTCTGGCAATCTCAAACCTCACTCTACCCTTGGGGTTTCAGTATGCAGCTATCCTCACTCAA